AAAAACGATCTTCAACCCTTTTGCACAATTATCTATGTCTATGACAAAATTGATGAATTCATTTCATTCATTTCTCTATCCATCTGGGCTTCACAACTGAACCTTTCGGAATGTGAAGACTGATCTGGTTCTTGGCAGAAATTCGGTTTGACAAGCAGCATGCGTTGTTTGGAGAGGTTTGGATGGAAGGGCAGAATGATCAGACTGTTTTGCCCCTTCACTCACCTAAGATAGGGTCTTTGCATGTGGTCACACTCGTTCTGGCACCGACGCTTTGGCACCGATCTTGAGGCCTTTGAATGTGCAGGCCTACCTGGAGCAGCCTTTGGGGTATGAGCCCCTGATGCAAGCGCAGCGCCCTTTTGAAGCGGAACCGGAAGCGGTCGACCGGGACCCACCGGACTTGCCGGAGAAGGCGCAGTGCCTTCGACGGGCGCGGTCCGTCGTGAAACGGCGCAGACTGGGTGAACTAGTCTTCAGAAGTCTCTACTGTTTCTGACTGTTTCTAACGTGGGAGTTCACGCCCATCTGGAGGATTTCGTCTTCCTTTCGGGCCCTATGCCATCCACTTCCATTTGACAGAGTGTAAATCGGTTGGAGACGTTTGGGAGTCCTGCGGAAGTCTTGTTTAAGATCTGTTTAGTAGATCGGTCTATCAGGGTGCCATGTTCTGCCGTAGCCAACTGGTTATCCAAAGACATTCAATCTATTCTTTTCCTGGATCTTTTTGTTGTTGGATACGTTTGATTTGTGGCGCTGGTATGGCCATCCAAGATAGCCCCTTATAGACTTTGATTGAAATCAATCCTGGGTCAGAACAGACGTTTGGCATTAGAGAGATGAAGGTTGCTTCAGCTTTCCGGTACAGCCAGAAAGTGACCCTGAAACTCTGGTGACAACTGAGGCATTGGCTCACTTTTCTACGAATGTCTTGGAACATAGCACGGTTAGTATGCCACTGATGACCAAAGAAGAAAAGGAATGTATGTGTGAGAAAGAAGAGGTTCTATATACCCCAATACACCATTTGTCAATCTAAACATGACACGATATGACCGAAGCGAGGTTTTCTTGCAAAAGCTTGTACTAGAGAAGGCGTAGACTATTCTTCTCTCTACCATTGGTGATTCGCATCGTCGTAGCTCCCTTCTCCCGGTCGGCCATGCGGATGTTCTTCCACACCCCTCCATGCCTGTCCCCCGTTCTCCAGGCCAAAGAGCCGCTTCCGGAGAAGACCGAGGCGAAGCCTTCCAAGCGGCGCGCCGCTCTGAGCGAGTCGCCGCAAAGCGACGAGGGGCTTCCGGCGACGAGTCCCACGAGTTCCAGTGAAGCGCCGTAGGTGTTGGGGCGTGGGAGGGAAGGGGTGGCAGTGGAGAAGTGACAGGACACTGGATGGTGTGATAAGATGGATTTGTGGATGTGTCATTCTGAATCATCCTGGAGAAGGTATACTGTATATATATATATACACAGCGAGTATCGAAAATCATGGAATAAACTTCTTTGCTTTGCCAAAGATCCTTCTCAGCATGACCAGACTTCCCGGAGCTGGTGTTTTCGCCCCGCAGCCTGTGTAAATAGCTTAAATAGCAGCAATAGCTTCAGCCAAGGTGCTGACTTTGGGTCACGACGACCTTTTGAGAGGTTGAAGAACTGATTTCGCTGACCAGGGCAGGGCGACACGTGATTCCCGGGTGATTCGATCTTGCCCCGATTTCACCTGGCACCACGGTGTGAAGAAAGACCGTTTTTGAGCACGGGGCGACGGTCTGAGGAAAGAGCAAGAGTTGGAAGGCTTTCAAGATCTGAATTTTCCAAGCATGTTGGAATGGACACCACTCCTGTTGTGCGCCTTTTCGGCCACTTGGATGAACATCACTTGGCTGAAATGTACCGATGCCCAGAACTCTCTGATTGAGCGGGAGAACTGCCCCCATAAACACGAGCCATCCATGCCATGGGTTGGCGGTTTCTTCATGGCTCTCAGAAATTACACTCCCGAAAACTAACATAGACCCTGACAAAGGCCCCCTGGAAGATGGTTTTCCTCTACCAACCAATGGTTTTCAGGGTCTATGTTAGTCTTCCAGGGTGTACACCAAAGTTCACTAAAGCGTCTCCTTTTCCATGCCCAGTCTATGAATGCACTCCCCGGTTACATCATCATGGGCCTTCTCGTGGAGAACGCAGGTCAGCCCCGAAGGGATGACCGTTTGAGTCATCCGGTCATACCAAACGACGGTGGTGGTGCGTTTTCCACTTCTGTCAGTGACTCTGAGTGTATCTCTAGTGACTCTGGTGTATATCTAGGAGGAACTCAGACGACTAGGCTGATGTGTACTGGGAGCGCTGATGTGTACGTTTCCGACGGTTTCACAGATGAGAAGCCGGACCAGGTTGGCAGTGGCAACAGGTTGTCATGTCTTCCACCATCAGTTGCGGTTTGTACCACTTCACTTATCAAGTCTGAAAAGGATGGGTTCCCAAACCCTTCATGAGCGAAGGAGCTCGTTCTTCGAAACCAGCTCGTTCTTCCCACAGCTCGTTCCAAGCGGACCGCGTGAGGTCGGGTTCCACTCTGAAACGTCCGTGGTCTGGTCGTCCGTGGTGCTGAACCGTCTCACGCCATTCCCATTGGGGGATCTGATGACCCGGTTACCGGGCCGATTCCGCACACGTCACACGTGCACACGTCACACGTCACTGGCGACACGTGGGCGTTGTTTGGAAACGTGAATGGAGACGAGAACCAGGAACCATGTTTGCGACGGGGTTGGCATCGCGACGCACGAGTCTGGAGCGATCGGACGCGACTCGTTTCGCTGTCGACTCGGACGTGACATCGCTTGACGTGTTGGGCGCCTGTTCGCCCCACCCGCCCGCTGGTTCCATGCCCGTTTGGGGCGCGGCGCGGGTGGCAGGTGGATATGATTTTCCCTGAGGAGATCACCACCAAGCGTCGGCAACCCGAGATAGCGAAGCCAAGTAGTGGAAAGCTGTACCAAAAGGCAGTGTCGTTCCAGGGTTTCAATTTGGGGTGCTCTCGGATAGATCGCACGAAATCACCCCAACTTGCAACCCCTTCATTCCCATTTCCTTTGTCAGAATCTTTGGAGCCAGTACGTGGAACGAAACCCTGCTCTCGTGGAATCGTGCCAACGATTTGGCCATGATTTGTGCCACCGAGTCGTCCACCCAAGGCTTGAAGTCCAACCTTTGCAACTTCGTGATCGGTTACGATGTCCGATCCTCTGTTATTTTTCCTTTCCTGAGGAAAGGCTGTGTCGTTCGGTGGAGTGATGGGAGTGAGAGATCTCAGTGAGGTGATCAACACCATGTTCGAGAACCAGAAGAGGTGGGCATTCCATTGCGCCATAGGTCATCATAGGTTAAGAGCTTCATCAAACTCGCCAGAAGGGCAACGAATCGGAGTCTTTGACCCTGACGCCGCAGGCAAGAGACGGTCACGAAAGCGTTTAAGCAGTGCGGGAACATCATGCCGACCTGGAAAGTGCAGGAGAAGCCTCGAGATCACGGGATGGATGATGTTGGATGATGTTACATGCGGGAGGGTGCTCCCCCCCACTTGTTCGTTTCGATGTCCTCAGGTTTGGCTTCAGCGCATTGTAGCTTCTGGCTTTGACCTGTCACTTCTCCCTTTGCTTCCCGCGCGTAAGGAAGACTGTAGATGGTCTTTTTTTGATGAAATTTCGGGTGTTGCCACGCGGGCAAGGACTTCATCTACATCAAGTCCAAGTACATGAACGCATGCTTGAAGGCGATGCGCGCGATGCGTCGTGAGGAGATCGGCCATTCGTGAGCATAGGCGCCCGGCGTGTGAATCGTGAAGTCATTCGGCTATGGCCCATGGCTCAAAAAGATGCTGCAAACAGGTTACCTACCCAAACAATTTGGACCAACAAATGAGTTTTTCGTGGCTCGTGATTTTTCGGTTCTGGAATCTTTCGAGCAAAGTGGCTAAGTGGGTTTGGGGTTGGAATCCCTGTTGTGGAGAGATATGTTTCGTAGATGGGCTTCGGCTTCGAGACATCAATGAGGCTTTGGCCATTGGTCTAAGCAAATCAATATCGAGATCTCTGCTTTGGCTTCGAGAAAGGCATTTTTTCTCTGGCCAACCAAATAGATTGACCTGTGAAGCAGCCAACGATGGTTGCCCTTTTGATCCCTTTTGGTTCGAACCTTTTTTCGTCCTGGGGAGTCAAGGCACCCTTGGAAGCTCCAAAGGTCTCCGACGGATAAGAGTCATCAAAAGGTCTCCGACGTCGATGCTAGGATCTGCCGCTTCAACACCAACCCGCAGAAACACACTCGCTTTTCTCTTTTTTGAATTCAATTCGCTTCAGCCCGCTGGTGGAGATTGATGAGAGTCGGGCCAAGGCGGCCGTGTTTCTGCGAGTGAGTGCATGGCCAGCGGCCACGGATCACCGGTCGACGGTGCTTTGGGGGTGCTTTGGGGAAAGGTCACCGAATCTCTTCGCGAGCTCGTCATGTAAAGATCTCGTCCGGTGTCGTGAGGCGGGCATCCCCATGGCTCCCACCATCTTCGCCTACAAGGGCAAGCGCAGCCCGGCGAAGTTGCTGAAGGAGATCAAGGCAGGAGTGCCGCGCGGCACGCAGCGTGGTGCCAGCGTGCTCGCGATGGGGCAGTGGGGCAGTGGTGGGAGGGAAGTCTCGCAGGCGCTTCATGTCGTAGATAGAAGCAGCTTCATAATTCATAACTATCAATGGCTAAAAAACAATGAGTGGGGATTGTGTTCATGCTGCAAGACTCAGATGTTCGCCTTTGAATTCTAGGGGTGCTTCGTTGTGTAGACAGCCCTGCAACAGATCCCTTTCGTTTTGGAGGCGCGTGGATGGAAGACCTTTGTGATGAAGCAGTCCATGATGGCCTTCTCGTTGGGCTTTTGCCCCTTGACTTCGCATGACTTCGCAGTTTTTGAAGCGGAACGTAATCATTCCGCGAGTTGGGTGGTGTCTTTTTGAAAGGTGATACGCGTGGAGGTTTACAACAACTTTGGACACGGAACTACAGACGAGAAATGCTATCACGGGACCTTTTCCGGTTTTTGTGACACTGCTTGTCACGCACCCACGCAGTTTTGCGAGGCAAGTTGAAAGTCGAGGAGTGCGAAAAGGACACGAACGAACCGATCCCACCGCCCGACGGGCGGATTCACTGGTTGTTGGGCGCATGGCCTTTTTAGCTCAAATGGCTGAATGCTGAAAGATGCTGAAGGATAGTGATTGTAAAGCTTTTTGAAGGTCATGATGACCGGTATCAGGGTTCCGCGCTGAACTGTGTCTGGGCCTGTGCGGCTCATTTGTCAAACTCCACTCTATTGTGAGCTGGACGACTCACCCTCAGAATCCAGTTGTCTTAACCTAGATGGATCAATCGGATGAATGTGGACATGCTGAAACAACAAGGGCCATGGGTCTTGGCGCTTTCACACGTGGCTTTGGGGTTAGACTGTCCAGGTTTTGATCAGATTCTGTGCAGTTCGGCCTTTCTCCAGGATCCTTCGATTCTGAGAAAGTACTTCAAGGAGTATGCTGAATGCCCAGAATATGTGGTGCAGGAGTCCTCACAGACATGAATGGATATGATACATGCAGTCATGCAGTGGTGTCACATGGTGCCTCCTTGTATAAGTGCCAGCTGGAGCATGTCAAGAACTGCTTTGCCCTCTTGGGTTTTGGCTGTCTCGTGTCAGCCGAAGCGGGTTTCACCGGACAAAGGGCCCTGTTCTTCCGGGACCAGAAGGGACTGTTCGTGACTGGCCACTGTGACTTGCCAAAATGGAAATGGAACATGATCTCTGGAAGTCCATTCTCTACAAACAGGCCTTGTTCGTTTACATCGACCGTTAAAGGGAAACGTTTGTTGCAAAAAATCAGTTGCTGTAGATGTGAGTGCAGGAATGCATTGAGGGCTTCACTCGAAACTGGGAAACTCGCGTCTTCTGGTTCAACGGTGAGTTTCTGTGCCTTGGCAGAACGAAAGCAACTGCTGACAATCTATGTTTTTCACACGAGTTGTGAGTTGAGATGTTGGTTTTATGTTAAGTTTATTTATTACTTTTCTTATATACATATATATATATATATACTGTATACGTTTTTCAACACTTCCTTTAATTGAGGTATGCCATTGCGAACAAGGCGGCTGTCTCAACAGAGGACTGCTGCTTTTGTTGCTTCAGTCTGCTTTTGTTGGTGCAAACTGTTGCTTCAGTCTGCATTTGTTGGTGCAAACGAAGAGCCGACAATGTCAGGATGGCACCGAAGTCATTGTCACAGGCCAGTGGCTCTTCTTCTCTTTGCTCAAGAAAACCATGACAGGGACGCCCTGTTGCCAGGTGATGACATTCCTGAGGAGTTCTTGGAGAATGCCAAGCGCATTGGAAAAGAAGCCCTCAAGGTGACGCAGAATGGAATGGGGACCGACTGACCGGTCAACCAACTCAATGGCACCTCACCGACCTCGGTCGAGTGACACTCGACCTCACCGACCTCACCCATTTTCGTCTATACACATGATTCTTGACTGTTTTCGACGGTCAAGACCATGCGTGCTCTGTTTTGCAATCTCCTTTGATCTCAAACACATTCATTCTCTTACTTTGTCTTTTTGGGGACTCTGATGGAGCTGGACTTCAGCACGTCCTCACCTCAGGTGTTGCCGGAGCTGACGGCACCTTCCGGGGAGCTCATTCCGATGATGCCTGGCGAAGCGGCGAAGCACGCCGATGCCGGAACGTGTTTTCTTTTTGGACTACAGGGAGACCCAGCTTGATTGAAGTTACAAGTTACCCAGTATCTAATTGAAAAGGGCCATCCCCTGACCCAATAGGTAGACTGGTCTATTTTTCAGGTCTTCCTTTCTGGGAGGTCTCCCTACACTCCGGAATGACTCCCGGCTGAAAAATCTAAAGATTGTGGATCTGTCAATGTAGCTCCAGGAGCTCCGAGTTGAGTTGGCTCCAAGAGCCGTTTTCCTGCGGATCTTCGTGTACTCTGCAATTTGGGGGTGGATTCGGTATTTGGTTCAAGTGGGGCCCAACTCGCAGAACAGGGCGCCCAACTAGGCCCCCGCGGTCGATGAGACGATGAACCCGTCTTCGGTGTCTTCTTTTGGGTCGGCTTTCCTTGGCTTCTGTCCTTTTGGGGCCTCTTCTCGGGAAGCTTTCCGGGGGGAGAGACTTCTATTTGATGTTGGTGCTGTCGCACTTCAGTTTTCGAGTGGCTGTCGCCACATGCTAGATGCTGTCGCACCATGGCGCATTTCTCCAACACTCCAGGCTTCTGTAGATCCTCTCGCCCAACATGTCAAGCTGTCTTCCCCAGTTTATCCACCGATCCGGTTGCTTTCTGGCACCCATGGCTGTGCTCTGGTCATGCTCTGGTCTCGCCTGACTGCACCGATGAGAGGGGCGTGGAACGGCAGAAATCGGTCAACTCGAGAGCCCCAGCCAGGAGACACCCCAGCAGGGTATATTTATCCGCGATAGAAACTGAATGGAAATCGGACTGGTGGTGGGTACCCCATGATAAAATGTTTGCCTTCCATGCAACTATTCGTGTTCGATCCTACTATTCGTTGTGACATGTCACCGCATCACTATCCGTTGTTCTTGCATTCCTCAACCGACTCTTGGGGTGTCCTGATGTATTTGGGTATGTTTTAAATCTTGCCAATAGCAAAAGGGCAGGGTGCAGCTGCAAGGTGCAGCTAGTGTTTTGCTTTCGCAAATTGGTTTTGCTATCTGGGGTCTACGCTGGCGCAATTTATCAAAGCTTTCCCATTTTGAGCCACGGCTGATTGAACACTTCACTTTACACTTGCTCCGAGCCCAGGACACTCATCCGCACTGACATCGGCTGCTCCGACAGTCAGGTCTATGACAAGGAAATGCTTTCACTTTTTGAACACTTCAGTCGGAGACTATAGGCATGCAGAACTCCTCCACAAGGTGACCAAAGTGGCACTTGCGAGAGTTCAAACAGAACCAACGAAGAAGGCATGCCAGCAATATCCGTTGAAGGCCCTGAAACCAAGCTTGGATTTGTAAACGAGTGGTTCATTTGGAGATACTATATAGCAGGTCAAAAGCATCGTCTATGAACTAACATGAACTAACGTACCAGGTATATCGACAGCAACAATGAACAGGAACAATATCAGTTTAGTGACCTGCCAGATCCCACGAATTCGAAGAAAGACCCACACATTCGTGGCTTTCGCCGTGACAGGTCCCGTCGTTCAGGTCCCGTCGTTCGCAGCTTCTCAGGAGACCAACTGGGATCCCGAGAAGCGAACCTTCTTCTTGAACGAGATCGAGTGCGCCGAACGGACGGGTCACGCCGCGCGGAAAAAAGCGGGTGGACGGGTCACGCCGCGCGGAGGACGCGCCACGCGGTCACGGTCGGAAAGGAAGCGCGCGGAAGTGGTTGCGCAGTAGGATGTCTCCAAACTTCCCCAGAAACTGAGGTCACGCAGCATGCAACTCTGGTGGCAAAGGGTAGTACTAGTGGTATGTTTTTGTTGATGCTAAGAAGACCAGTTTCTTGGTATGGAGCTTGACTCTTTTCATGAGAACATCTTCTTCATCGGAACTGAGGGCTCGTTTTTCATGGAGCCGAGCCCATGTTGACACAAAAGAAATCATGAGCCCTTCACACTGAAACATCAAGCCAGAGAATGTTCAGTGGTTCTTCAAGGAAGTCAGGGATGCAGTTTTAATATGTTTTCAATGACTCCTTCAATCCAGTCCCAGATCAAAGGCTGTAATGGACGTGGCTGCCCGATGGAGCCCAGCGATTGTGAGGAGCAGTTTACTTCGTATCACAAGGACTGGAGGGCAGATGAGGAGGATGGCGAATTAGAGGAGGAAGATCGGTGGGATGAAGATGAAGAGTGGGATGAAGATTCTCACAATGAAGGGCAGAATGACGAGTCGAGCACGGATGAGGAGACTGAGGAAACTGAAGAAATTGGCCGTTTTCGGATTTTTTACCTCAAGAGTAATCATTCCTTTGGTTACATTGAGAGCTTAAGTGCTCCTGATGGTGTCTAGTCTTGAGATTGACCTTGAAGATGCTGAGGCGTACCTCGGAAGGTTCTTGCGTTTCAGAATGTTTCGAAACCATCGTGGTTTCAAGGCAACCTCTCCCATTGAATTGCTGTCGAGTATGGTATAGGGCTTCTGAGCGATCAGCTTGACAAGAAATTGGAAGAGCGGATGAAAGAGATCAAGAGACAATCGCGCCAAGATCAGCGAGAGCAGAAGAACCACTGGACAGCACATCGAACGAAAGAAGAGGCGAACGAAAGAAAGACACGCAAGTCACGAAAGAGCAGTAATTTGAAGATTTCCAAGAACCAGGTTGTCAAAGGCTCCTTGCCCGTGGCTTTAGTTTGTCCGCGTGTTTTGCTTCTTGTTCGAGTTTCTTTGTGCTTTCCCGTCTTAAAATTAACGTGTTGTTGTGAACCAGACTTATCCCTTTCATCATACCAGGTTATCCTCCTCATGGAAGAATGCAGCTATTTCGCCTGAAGTACCCAGTTACTTTCAAGTGCAAATATCGTGGTTTCAGAGAGACCTCGAGCTACGTGGCTCTTGGACACAATATGGAGTGCCTATCGATGCAGGCTTACTATCAATTTGAAAGGAACCAGAAAAGGAAAAGGAAAAGGACACGGCAGGAAGGGAAAAGGAGGCTCCAAGGGGAGCGCAAAGGGTGTCCTGAAGGGCAAAGGAAAAGGACAATCAATGGGCAAAGGTAAAGGCCGAGGCAGAACGGGCCAAAAGCCAAGAACGATTGCGGACCTGTCCGTCAAGCGGAAGCGGCCATTTTGGATGCTGCCTCGTGGGTTCGGGATGCTGTCTTACTGTAGCGGTCAACATCGTCTATTTTTTATGTGAAGAGCTGGAAGCTGCGCTGACACATGTGCATAGATCATCTCCATCACAATCAGAGTCAGAGGCAACAAAAGAGCTACCGGGCTACCGGTTTCTAACATGGACAAATGTAACAACAGGATGTGTTAATTCAGTTATTAACACACTTTTACGACACCCGAACTTAAAGCCGTTGCTTTTCCTCTGATTCCGGAGCTGTTTTTTCTGCCCGAAGCATCGATCGCGAGTTCCGGTGGCGGCCGATGAAAACCGCCAGGTATGGTGGGACGACGTACTTCATCCGGCACCTCAAGGAGGATTTTGTGCCAAAGTGTCGCGGATGGAGACAGGGTGGTTTTGGTCTAAGCTCAGGACTCTTGGTGAGAACTAGCTAGCTAGGTCTAAGTCATCATTGCTAGAATGTGAATGTGGTCAACATAAACTCGGGGCGCGGCTCTGTAAAAAGCATTCTAGAAGACTTGACCTTTCATTGAGTTGTCCCTTTTCCAGCAGGCAGTGCAGGTTCGTTTTTTTGGATTCGCAGCCTCTGTGAGCTGCCCCTCCGGCGTTTTGTGAGAGAGGTCCCACACAGCGTCCTGTGGTGCGTTTTGGGCGTTCGCCCAAATTCACATGGGTATGGCTGCCCAAGAAGCCCAAGAACGGCCGACTTTCCTTTGGCCAGCGGGGCCCGTTAGACTGTTGGCTCAATAAAACCTGCCACATGGGAGAAGTTGGACCAGAGAGTGGCCAGGTAAGTCTATCAACCATGCACACTCCCTGAATTCCTCATGGTTTGCTGTGGGGTTCACCACCTGCAACTGGTCTTCCGAACGATCCATCTACGGGCCCCTACCAGGGGCCATGGAAAAGCACCATGGGAGTCTACATGACTCACACAGGCCAACTGCCCACCCGGGAGAGCGGCAGAGGAGGCAATGTACCAGAACACCTACAGATTATGCCAATCACACTCCTGTAGGGTCCCGGTAGCATACAACGAGGGTACTACTACCACCTGTAGTTGTATGTAGTTGTATGGAGACTCTGGTCATCACCACGAACCAATCTACCCGAACGCCCTCCCCCGAATTGATTTGGTGCCCACTCCCTCCTCCCACCGGCGACTCCGTCGGTCCCGGGTTTCAGAGCGGTTCGGGAGGATGTTGGGCCCCACTATTACATCCATGACGTGGTCTTTCCAGAGGTTTCGCCTTTGTTTCGGGGAGGAAGTGAGTCGATTTTTCACTTCAGCGCCCAATCAACGCATGCTAAGGTGGGCCGAATTGTATGCGGAGAAAGCCCGCGAGTGCCTTTTCAGCAGCGGTCTTTTCTCCTGGGACCGGGTGGAGCTCCCTCCCTCCCTCCCTCCCTCCCTCCCTCCCTCGGAGACCGGGAACGTGGACCGACGGATAGGTGGCTCCGGTCGCGTGGGACCCATCGTGACCAGTTTTGACGACCGCCCTGCGCGGTATGCGAGGTGGACCTTTCCTTTTGACAGACTGAAGGAGGGGGGGAATACCACTCCAAAGACTTCTCAGTGGGTCGGTGCTTCCGGATCCTCCCAGAACCAGGCAACTTCGCAGTTCCTGCTCCTTTTTTCACAGGAACGCCCTGCCCTTCCGTTGGAAACGCTCAGCCCTTCTCCGGCTTCTCCCGAGGATTGCGGCGCTTCAAGAGGCGGCGCCCGAGGAGCCACAAAAGAAGCGGGCGCGCATGGCAGGCCGAAGCGTTCCCGGTGGAACGGGAGCTGCCCGGGTCGCCGGGGAATGGTCCGTGAAAGGAGACAGTTGGGGTTTTGGGATGGCCGAGTTCCGATGGCGCGCTTGGGTATGTATCGAAGCGCACCGTGAGACAGAGCTGGACAAATTGGGTGAACATCAAGTACCAAGTTAGATACTCTGACAAAGAGGCATCCAAACTGTCCAAACTCTACCTCAACAGAGCGGTCACTTGCGTTTGGTTTCAACCGTCACATGATGGGCTGGGTGACTTGACGGTGGGTCGAGGGCCAGCCAAAAAGCCAGTCCAAAGATCCAGCCCAGAACTTAGTAATATGATCAAACATATAAGAAAAAGCATCAACATGCTGTATCACTATTCAATATCCAACGAAAGATACTCCTTGACCATGCATTGTATACGCATTCCCAGAATTCCCTCCTTTTCTGCCACAGGTTGGTCGACTGTGCCGGTGGTGGTCTGCTGTTCAAATGGTCGAGTCGGGTCACGTCCGTGATTCTTCGGACAGGTCCTGCGATGAAAAGGCCGGCCTCAGCAAAGGCCAGTGCAGCAGGCAGATAGCTGAGATGGGATGGGAACGGCAGTCAGACTGTTGGTGGAAGAGTGAAAAACCACTTGATGATGGATCCGCCGTTGTCATAGCGATCATTGTCGTGTTTCTGATGTTTCTCTGGGGTAGGAACGCCGTCCTTCAACAGTAGCCCCAGGGGTCACCCTGCAAAGATCATTTTACAAGAAACTTCAGCAATTTAGGCTTTTCATCTCAAGATACTGGGCGTATGCTGTCCTTTTTCGCTGTGTTCAATGTTTCTGACAGAGTGGATGAGCACAGAGTCCAGAGTAGATACATAGATCATGCAAGACCTCCAATCAGTGACTGCCCAGACTGGTGACTGGACAGACTGCACCCGTACCGTGCGCGAAAAACATGGACATCCCCTGCAACGAATAGGTGCCACAATTGAAGTGCCACACAGGCTTCCTCCTTTTGAGACAAACTCAAAACCAAGAGAAGTGACCTGTTTTTGAAGACAGCGGGTCGACTCCCGATCCCTTCCGCAAGCGAAGAACGGACAATGCTACGGTTAGCTGTCTTCACTCAAAGTAAGTGGAGTCTCACACAGGGTTGGGCCAGACAACCTGTGGGGACCTCGGTGGAGCAAATTGTTTGTACTTAATGTGACCTTAATGTAGACTCTTGATGAATAACCCCACTCATGTGGATTCTAAAACCACTTCAACTGGGGATGTTTATGAATCAACAGTCTACATTAATACAACCCATTCTTTCAACGCCATGTTGGACCTGCCCAACCCTGTTTGACAGGTGCCTGACTTCGCGGTCGCATTTGTCGACCCTCTCTTGATGGCATCGGTAGGGCCTGGTGTTTGGACACGCTGAAGATGCCCCCGGGTTAGCAGCAATGCTGCAAAGGCTGTGCGCAGCTGGGTTCACAGGTCAATTTAGACCTAGCACTTTGCGAAAGCAAGTGAGGGGGAAAAAGCTCCTGGCGGATGTCGAGCAGAGAGAGAGAGAGAGAGAGAGATAGAGAGATAGAGAGAGCGATGGATGGATGGATGGATAGATCGATAGGTCGATAGATCGATAGAGAGATAGACAGATAGACAGACGGAGAGACAGATAAATAGATAGATAGATAGATAGATAGACAGACAGATAGATGATAGATCGATCCATCGATCGATCGATCCATCGATCGATCAATAGAGAGATAGAGAGAGAGAGAGAGACAGAGAGACAGAGAGACAGAGAGACAGAGAGACAGAGAGACAGAGAGAGAGAGAGAGAAACAGAGAGAAAGAGAGAGAAAGAGAGAGAAAGAGAGAGACAGAGAGAGAAAGAGAGAGAAAGAGAGAGAACGAGAGAGAAAGAGAGAGAAAGAGAGAGAAAGAGAGAGAGAGAAACAGAGAGAGAGAAAGAGAGAGAGAGAGAGAAAGCGAGAGAAAGAGACAGAAAGAGAGAGAAGAGAGAAAGAAGAGAGAAATAGAGGGAGAAATAGAGAGAGAGAGAGAAAGAAAGAAAGAAAGAAAGGAAGAAAGAAAGAAAGAAAGAAAGAAGGAAAGAAAGAAAGAAAGAAAGAAAGACAGACAGACAGACAGACAGACAGAAAAAGAATTAAGACATAACAAAAGAACAAAAGACATACATAGATAAAGAAAGAAAACAAGAAAGAGAGAAAGAGAGACAGAGAGACAGGGAGAAAGAGAGAAAGCGAGAAAGAGAGAAAGTCAAAAGCCAAGAAAGAGAGAAAGAGAGAAAGAGGGAAAGAGAAAAGGAGAGGAGAGAACGAGAGAACGAGAGAAAGAGAGAAAGAGAGAGAGAGAGAGAGAGACGGCTAGATGATCTCTTTGCTTTATCTGATCGGTTGTGTATAATTAGAAAGAGACTCCAGGGTATGCACTGCCAGCTGTTTGGATTTGATGGATGATCTACCTCGTTTTTCTCTCTCCAAAGGACATTTACAGATTTATATTTTAGATAGCGTTGACATATGTATATGTAGCATATTTTGTATAGACAGTATTCTACACATATACACACATACATGAGGCCCTCAAGGTGTGCTTAACACACGTACACACCATCTCCTGGTGACGAGACAATGAACACCTCTTGGGAGATCCGACACACACAGAGAGTGCATGTAAAGCTTTGCTTCATGTGACAATCCAATGCCGCTGCGTACCGCAGGCCTTCGAGCTATTCACCGATGATCCAGAAAAAACATTCTGCAGTTCCAACCAATTCAGGTTTTCCCAGTTCAACTGAGACACTTCAGCATTCGTCCAGGGAAACCTGCGAACGAACATCTCTTCAAGTCATGCTCCGGAACGAGTACTGAGCACCTCCCGGAAGCAGAGCCCGGAAGCAGAGCCCCTCGCGTCGTTAGTCGTTCGCCACTTTTCGCCGCATCCACGCCATGGAGACGGCTCGATCGTCTTGGCCTTGGTTTCGCAGTCGTCGAGGTTTCGCTGTGGGAGGTCGTGACCCGGAGGGGGTCGCTGCGGAGAGATGGGCCACCGCAAAAAGGCGCCCGTCTTTGTGTGTGAGAAGACAAAGACGCACGTCTCATGAAGACGTTACCGGAGGGAGATCCATGTCTCTTTACTTTACAACTGGTGGTATTTTTGGGTCCAAGCAAGCTGGCCTCAGTTTCTTCAAGCTCTAGACCCGTCCAACTGAGTGGGTCTCTACGAAAGTCGAGTTCAGCAGACGATCCACGGATTCCACAGGACAATATCGCTAGCAGCTAGAAGGCAGTTGTTTCAAACAAAGCTTGGACAGAAGAACATCCACTGTTTTTTTGTGAAGGACCAGCGACTTTTGAGTTTCGCAAGCGACTTTTGAACCCAAACATCCCTGGCGAGACGAGAATCTTTGGTCTTTTGAGCATAAGGCTGGGTGGAAGTAGCTCTGCTTCGATGCCTGAGCCTGAAACAGTTTCGACACATGGTGGGTGTGGTGTGGGAAGTATGAAAAACCAAGGAGGCATCTCCAAGTTTCGAGCTCTCACTTGGAAATATACAAGCACCGACACCTGGCATCCGACACCAGACCTTTTTGAGAATCCGGTGATCTTGTGGGGATCATCTTGAACTTCTTCCGACTTCACTGGCCGGTGGAAGCAAACTATAGGGTGTGTCCCAGTAAACCAGCAGCAGTCGGTAAAATATTTATCATGCATGTATATATATATATACATATTGTTCCCCAAACAGGTTTACCTGTGAGGGGTTCTTACTCCTTTTAAAGGGGTGCATGCTCGGGCCGGATGATTTTGAGTTTGTCTCCGGGCTTGTGTTCCTGGCCGCATGATTTCACCCTTGTCTCCCACTTGTCTCTCACTTGTCTTCCAGTAAGCTCTGGATGCTCTCAGTGCTCTGGCCGCATGATATTATACTTGTCTCCCATTTGTCTCCCACTTGTCTCCCAGTAAGCTCTGGATGCTCTGAGTGCTTGGCCGCATGATTTCACACTTGTCTCCCATTTGTCTCCCACTTGTCTCCGAGTAAGCTCTGGATGCTCTGAGTGCTCTGGCCGCATGATTTCACACTTGTCTCCCACTTATCTCCCAGTAAGCTCTGGATGCTCTGAGTGCTCTGGCCGCATGATTTCAGGCTTGTCTCCCATTTGTCTCCCACTTGTCTCCCAGTAATGCTCTGAGTGCTTGGCTGCATGATTTCACACTTGTCTCCCATTTGTCTCCCAGCTCTGGATGCTCTCAGTGCTCTGGCCGCATGATTTTATACTTGTCTCCCATTTGTCTCCCACTTGTCTCCCAGTTGTCTCCCAGTGCTCTCGATGCTCTCAGTGCTCTGGCCGCATGATTTCAGGCTTGTCTCCCATTTGTCTCCCACTTGTCTCCGAGTAAGCTCTGGATGCTCTGAGTGCTCTGGCCGCATGATTTCACACGTGTCTCCCACTTATCTCCCAGTAAGCTCTGGATGCTCTGAGTGCTCTGGCCGCATGATTTTATACTTGTGTCCCATTTGTCTCCCACTTGTCTCCCAGTAAGCTCTGGATGCTCTGATTTTCTTGTCTCCCATTTGTCTCCCACTTGTCTCCCACTTGTCTCCCAGTAAGCTCTGGATGCTCTCAGTGCTCTGGCCGCATGATTTTATACTTGTCTCCCATTTGTCTCCCATTGTCTCCCACTTGTCTCCCAGTTGTCTCCCAGTAAGCTCTGGATGCTCTCAGTGCTCTGGCCGCATGATTTCTTGTCTTCCATTTGTCTCCCATTTGTCTCCCACTTGTCTCCCAGTAAGCTCTGGATGCTCTGAGTGCTCTGGCTGCATGATTTCAGACTTGTCTCCCACTTGTCTCCCAGTAAGCTCTGGATGCTCTATAGTGCTCTGGCCGCATGATTTCACACTTGTCTCCCACTTGTCTCCCAGTAAGCTCTGGATCCTCTGAGTGCTCTGGCCGCATGATTTCACACTTGTCTCCCACATGTCTCGACTTGCCTCCCAGTAAGCTCACTTGTCTTCCACTTGTTTCCCATGGCCTGTCTGGATGCTTTGTATCCCCGGGCTTGGCTGGATGCTGGGCCGATTAATTTTTTGATGCGCACAAGGTCGTTGCTCTGTTGTATTTCTGGTGTTTCGAGTTTGAAAGCTGCATTGGCTGCATCGAAATACGCTATTTTCACATATTTTCACCACAAGCGTTGCATTGCTCGATTTGCTGTTTAGGTTGGCAGCTACTTTCGTGCGGATGATCAACGAAGCAATCGCACACTCTTACGTCAAGTGTTGCGACCTATGGCAAACACAGGTCAATGCAGTACATGGCTAAGCCAAAGAAGGCAACTGCGTAGGAAGGAAAAAGCCAAGCGCAGTGTCCGTGCTCTGAGGAAATCTTCATTTTGATTGGGTCTGCGCATTCGTGTTTACAAGGGGGGCAGCATATGTCACAACCTGGATCCATAAATTTCATGTTTTAGCCCTTGTACGGCGTCCCATTGTAAAGTCAATAAAAAACAGAATTTTAATGCTTTCCCTTTGAATCTTGTATGTGCGTCTACATGGTGGACTATAGTTTTCTTCCTCTAGGAAATACTGCTGGCCATATTGTTCGGGGATCTCATTTTTGAACATTGCTCTGTTTGGGGTCTACGCTGGTACAATTTTTTCCCCCCCAGATAGTGAAGCTATTGGGTTCTTACTTCAAATAATAGTGAGTTGCCCGTGCGCGCTTTCGAGACAGGTTGCTGGTGCTGGGTGCCGGTGCTGGTGCTGGTGCTGTGAGCTGGCTGTGCACGTAGTGGAGACAGGTTGCTGGTGCCGGTGCTGGTGCTGGAGACAGGTTGCTGTGCTGGTGTCGGGTGCCGGTGCTGGCGCTGGGTGCCGGGTGCCGGTGCTGGTGCTGGTGCTGTGAGCTGGCTGTGCACGTGGTGGAGACAGGTTGCTGGTGCTGGTGCTGGTGCCGGGTGCTGGTGCTGGTGCTGGTGCTGGGTGCCGGTGCTGGTGGTGTAGCTTGCATATATGCGGCGATCCTTTTTTGTCCAGATAGCGAAGCTATGGGGTTCTTACTTCAAGTAACAATGAGCTTTCGAGACAGGTTGCCGGTGCTGGTGGGCGGTGGAAACAGGGTGCCGGTGCGGGGTGCCGGTGCCGGGTGCTGGTGCGGGCTGTGGTGCTGGTGCTGGGTGCTGTGAGCTGGCTGCGCGCGTGGTGGACGCACTCGTTGTGGTTGAACTCGCCATCTTCTGGCAAGGAACCCTTGAGATAAGTCCGATCTGCTGTGCTCTCCCATTCCAGGTGTCCACCACTGGCATGCTGCCAAATATACTTGTACTCGAAAGGTGTGTGTGAGACACGGTGCCGGTGCTGGGTGCTGGCAGTGCGCGTGGTAGATACAGCGGGCGCTGGTGCCAGTGCTGTGAGCTGGCAGTGTGCGTGGTGGAGACTGGGCGCCGGCGCTGGGTGCTGGTGCTGGGCGCCTTAAGCTGGCGTGCCGGTGCTCGGTGCTGGTGCCCGCTTCTGACAGTGAAGTGATAACAACCGCCGCTTCTGACAGTGAAGGGTAACAAATCGCCGCTTGCAGCAGTGAAGGGCGACCAAGCGCCGCTTCTGACAATGAAGTGCAAGATAGTGCAAGCAGTCATGGGGCGCATGAACTTACGCACGCAACATCATACGGTGTTAGTGTTGCCGCTTGAGCGTTCTTTGTCTATTGGCGCTGTGGGGTATTTACACCCTTCAGGTTATGTTTTGGCCGACAGCTGTGTCAAGGGCTGTACTGTTTGCGCGCATACTTTTGTACGTATAATGTTCTATGCGTCAGGCTCTCAACCGACCATTGTACCAGCATGTTTCAGCATGCTACGCACACGCGCACACAATAGTCGTGCTGGATACTGCTTGGCCTTGGGCGAGTGAAGCCTACGGGCTTTGCCGATTGTGCGCGTACTTTTGTGCGCATAAACTTATACGGGGAGATCATACGGCCTTATCGTTCTGCAGATCGTTGCTTCCAGCGTGCTACAAAGTCAATAGTGGCGCTAGATACTGCCTGGCCTTGGGCCAATGACACTTACGGGCTTTGCTGTTTGCGCGCGTGCTTTTGTGTGCGTAAACTTATACGCGCAAGATCATACGTTGTTATTCCCCAAGTAGGGATAGCTATGGGGTTCTTGCTGCAAATAAGAATGAGCTGGCTGCGCGCGGTTTCAAAAGGGTGTCGGTGCTGGTGTTGTGGTCCTGGGTGCTGGTGCTGTGAGCTGGCTGAGCGCGCGTTTAAGACGGGCGGCGGCGCTGGTCGGGTGCTGGTGTCCGCTGATTGTGCGAGGTATCGTAAGCTGGCTGCGCAGGCTGCGTGCATTCTTGTTCCAGCCAGTCGCATGTCAACAGGTCGTGGGATTCTGCCTAGCTATCTGGGTCTATGCTGGTGTACTTTTTTCTTCCGCAGATAGCGTGAGCTATTGGGGTTCTTACTTCAAGTATAGGAAGAGGTGCGTGTGTGCACTTTGGAGCTTGGGTGGTGCCGCTGCAGGGTGCCAAATGCCAATGCACAGGTGTCTAGTGGATGCTGCCGCAAGATGTCTGTAGCTGTAGCTGTGTGCGCTGTGGAGCTTGGCGCCTTGCCGCTTCAATCAACTTCAAATAGGTCATCCTGGGTCATAGAAGGCCAGGCAGACAAAACATATGGCACGCAACTTTTCCGCAGGAACTGTTGGGGCTCTTCGATAGGAATAGGTGCCTGTGTATTGGTGTTGCTGTAGGCCCGTTGCGGGGTGCAGCTGCCAGATGTGTATGAGTCACTGTATGGCCCGTGTGAGCTTTGCAGCCTGCGTGGTGGCGCCGGTTGCCAGATGTGCATGACAACGTGGGCTGCGTGCTTGGGCGGCTGCAGGGTGCCGTTCCGAGGTTCATGGCCGTGCGCACTTTGGAGCTTGGGTGTTGGCTCCGCTGCAGAATGCCGTTGCCAAATGTGCATGGCGTGTGCGCTTTGGAGCGGCTGCTGCCGCTGCACGGTGTTCGTGCCAGATTCAGATGTGAATGGCTGTGTGCGACTTGGAGCTTGGATGCTGGTGCCGCTGCACAGTGTTGCTGCCATGTATGGCAGTGCACGCCGGCCAAATCTCTCTGCCATGTGCGCTTTGGAGCTTGGGTGCCGGTGCCATTGCAGGGTGCCGATGTGGGAAGTGTGTGCCTGGGGCCTGTGTTGGCGCTGCTGAAGGGCGCCGTTGGCCGTATCAGTGGCCGTGTTCGTTTTGGAGCTTGGGTGTTGGTGCCGCTGCAGGGGGCCGCATGCAGGGTGTTGCTGCGATGTCCATGGCGTAATTGGATATATACCGAGCAACCCAAAGACAAACAATGTTTGTCACCAAGTAGAAGCCTGAAACGGAACCTGATAGAACCTACAACTGGTGCGTGCATGAGCACTTCGATCTTCATGGTGAAGTGGCTGCCCCTTTTGTTTGCATCTTCAAACATAGAGGTCTTTCACAAGGGGCCTGTAAGTTTTGTTTGTGAACCACTGTTCAGGCGACCCAAAAGTATGGCCATGACCAGGATTGCAAATCTGGGGAGCCTAGGGGAAGGTCTTTCTTTTCCTGCTCTCCCTTGTTTTTTTTTTTCTCTCTCTCTCTCTCTCTGTGTCCCTCAGGGGACATCTTGCAAAGTCCTTGCATGTGCTTCCACTGCAACCACCATTTTGCTGTAACTCCAGGTGTGAACTTTTGCTGGAGGGGTATCCAGTTTTTCGTGCACACAGGACCCTTCCATCTGCTGCAGATGTTTTTCTTCTTAATTAGTGTTTCCATATATATATATATGTATATAACAGTTCTATTTTTTAAAGCCATTATTCATGGATACAGTCTGTTTTTGAGGGACAAAGGTCAGCTCAATCCAGTCAGCAAAAATCTGAATGTTGCCAGTTCATGTTCGACCAAAACAGTTACATTGGACATAGATGTGGAGTTCACATGAGTTCACCTCTTCTTTGTACAGTCGTCTTCCAACAGACGCCATCCCCTTCCACGTCCGAACGCATGAACATGCGCTTGAATCCTCGCTGTGCATGTTTGCTGAGGCCAAACATCCTCTCCGCCGGCGCGACGCAGCTCCCCGAGAATGCTCGATGGGTGGCAGCACGCTAGAGAGCCCGGCAGATTGTCAGCGGCCCGCCGGACAGCTTATTGATTGCTTCTCGATTTTTACCATCCTTTCGTATCTTTTTGTTGATCAGAATTGAATGCAAACACCTGACCTTTGGAGGGACTCTCCAAAATGCCGGGGGCGTGTTCTCCCTGTCTTCCCATTCTTGAGCTTTGAAGAAACGCCGGGTCACACGTCGTCGCTCGGTGGGTCCAGGCGGCACCGGGTGTTACCACTTCCTCAATGCCGACCATGTGGTGCACGACCGCTTGCATGGAGCCGGAGGGCTCGGCTCTAGAGACGGGCGCCAGGGCGACGGAGCCGGGGAATTGGACCCGGGAGACGGGCAAGGGGTATAGACGACGCGGTTGGTGGGCGGACAGGGCTCAACGAAGCTCCAAAAAGAAGAGGAGGAGGAGGAGGAGGAGGTGGTTGCCTGTTGTTTTGAAGGGGGTTGGAAAGGGGGAAGGAATTCGTCTTCAAAGCCATGCTGCAAGCTGCGAGTTATGTTGAAGTTAGGTACGTAGATGGGTTTGGGAGATGTGGCAAAATGCGTAGGTAGGTGGCTTCTATGCCTCAGGTGGTGGGATCTCTTCCAGCAACACTTGCCCTTCTTGTGCATTCACTGGAGAGTGTCTCGGGACCCTGAACAAATCGCAAGGAGATGTTTGACAGACTCGATTTCTTCGGGTTTCACCAGCTTTTCGGATCACAAAGTGATGCGTCACATCAGAAGAGGATCCCTGATGTCTCGGCACATCAGAAACCCGCCAAAAAGAGCTGATGTCTCGGCCCCGCCAATTGTGCCAGAATTGACAAATCCTATACATTTGGCCTTTGGCGAGAGTTTCAGTGGTTTTGGGATCCCAACTCCATCAACTGACCTGTTGGTAGGGTTGGCAAACCCAAAGAAACACTCAGCGGATCGCCCAGGATTCCCAGGCGACAATGTGGCGCCAGAGGCGGAATCTCCAGGAGAGTTTCTGCACATGGAATCTGCAGAGTTTCTAGACGTTGGGAAACGAGAAGGGTGTGCTGCGGGTGTGCTGCTGTTCTTTTTCGGGTGTGTACTGAGACTCCAGGGTGGGGGAGTCAACCTTTTCTTCTGTACCGTAGTACACACCCATGTGCGAAAATCGATGAGCTCTTCAGAGCCAGGGCAAGGACCTTCGTTTTTTAACAAACACGATCAAACACGCAATCTGAATGGATTCTCATCCAAACACTTCGATATTAATGGATACATAACGTTCATCCCAAAACAAAAGAACAAAAAAGCAAAACTGAGCTCTCTCCCCCAGGGGTGGGGACGATCTCCCCCAGAGATGCCAAGTGAGTTCACGATCTCAACGAGTGAGTTACGAAAGCACCTTGGTTGGGGTAGAGGATTTTGGGCCAGTGTGAAGAGTCCAACAAGTTCCGTTTTGTTGGAAAAACACAGAAAGGAAAAGCACAGAAAGCCTTTCTTTCTCGCTTTTTCAATACGATGTGGGTGTATCAACCACTTCCAAATCGTCTCACATTCATGGGACAAGCATTCCATTCATTCTCAGTTGGTCAAGTGAGCAGCGAGCAATGAATCGATCAGTTGGTCTGAATTTTCACCGATCGTGATGCGCCAATGCCACGGTTTTGAGGAGGAGCATCAGCGGCAGAGCTTGAGGCTCCTCGAGCATTGCGCGGACCAGTCGTGTGGTCACCCAGAAGATCCAGGTGGATGTGTGCAATTGTGTGCACCCCCAAAAGGTAGACTTGGTCTAGACTTGATCTATTTTTCTTCTTTGAGGGGGTGGTTGCCTTTGGGAGAGTGAGAACGTATCCTCATTTCTTCACTTCCATCTTCCATGTATGAATTCTGGCCGCCAACTGTTTGTTTGGAATGGGTATATAATGATGTTTCTTCTCGCGTGAGAAAAGATCCATTTCTCATTCCAGGTACTAGTTGTGCTGACACACAGCTGTAACGGATCAAACTGATCACCCGACCCATAAGGCCTTGTTTGACCTTTCTTTGCAAGCTGAGGTCCATGACTACACAGGAGAAGGCTCTCCACTCGTGAGGATCGAAAGAGGATTTCATTAGAAAAATTGTTGACTGTTGATTTCACCACTCAGAAATGGAGATGGTCTCCAATCTCAAGGGTGGGAGGGTTTATTAGTCAACTGTAAACAACATTGCAGCGCCCTGTACTTGTAGGAAAACGTTGACTCGACCGTTGCAAAAAAGGCATGGGTCATTCTCTTCGTGTGGCGTGTCCGTCAGAATTGACCTTTGGAAATCAACTGGTAAAGGACTTCCTCCCTGGCTCCCTCAAGTTTGGCTTGTCGCGGGGTGGCGTTTTGGATGACTTGCTCATCATCTTAGTTCCGAATGCACTCCTTGAACTCCTGGTGACGGTGGAGCTGAGCCAGTTCCTCCCCAATTTCGGGTGGTGCCGCTCCTCCGCCCCACGTGGCCTGCCGGTCCCGAACGTGCAGGGTCTGCGGAGTCTTTTTTTGTCTTGTTTTTTTTGGGAGGCGGAAGGGGGGTCAGTTTTTTGGGTCCCTTTCCCAAAACAGCCGGCTTCAAGATGGGTGGGTGTCCTCAAACCGTACTTGCGAGAGTTCCATGAGGAAGGACCTCCAAAACACCCCAACTGCCGCCCGCGAGTTGCTGGCCGTGCGCACTGGTACCTATGACATCAATGGCAAGGTGCCCATCGAAGCGGCGTTCGGTGGGACCTGAGCTCCGGTATGAATTCAAGCCACGGGCTGTGGGTTTGAGGCTGAAACCAAGAACATTTGCAGGTATTGGCTCCAGGAAAATCTGCCCAAATCACTGATTAACAGTCTAGTTTAGAATTCTTCAAGCCACGGCCGAGTGGACTGTAGACACATTGGAGTTTGCGGAGATGGTGCTAGGATCTTTGGTTGGTCACTTGCACCACTGAATAATAGCAATTCGAGAGATGGGTTGTTTATATAGATGGGCTTGGTGGAGTTTTCACTTCCGTTGCGAGTATCTAACATGTTGCTTTGACTCTTTGACCAAAAATGCTGAACATCCGCTGAGCATCCGGGGTTTGTTTCAGATTGTAGCAGCCTAGCAGATGAGAGGCGGCTCTAATTGGGCTCTAGGCTCTCTGGGCCCTGAAGCCTGAAGCCATTCTTTGGAACATCCTGGCCCAGGTCCTTTCCACCGTATAATTTGCATCACCTTGAGACCCTGTGGTTTCCAGTTAGAGCAAAGAAACCTTCATTGCCGACGTGGGGTCACCACTACACATAAGTAAGTAAGTGGCCCAGAAAGAAGGCTCTAGGGTATTCGTTCACAGTCTGGATTTCGTGGAGAGTGACATCATCCCTCCTTTATCATATGAGTTTGTGGACACAGGCAGAAGGGACCACAGCACGACCTCAGACCTCCTTTGAAACCAGCGGTCCCCCTGAAAAAAGTGTCCTGAGTTGCATTGGCGCTTGGACAGAACACCCATCTCTCGCCAGGTCTTCGCGCTCGGGAAGCAGGCCACGGCGCCCCCGAAGCAGGTGGCGCGGGGGCACTGGCTGACGCAGGCGGACCGGTCCGTTCCGTTCCAGCCGCCGGACCGGTCTTCGGATGAAATTTAGCGTTTCTGCCACAAGAGGTGTTTTGGCTACCAGGAGTTCCCAACGGGTGGAGATTGGAGAGATGTTTCTCAATTTGGTTTGTGCAAACCACAATGCTGAAACTGGTGTTTTCGAGGTCAACGGCATGACCAACAGCTACAACATCGTCAACGGCACGGCGTGACCGGCTGAGAACTTGTGGACCAAAGCAGTTGGGATTCAGGATTCCTTGATAGCTCCAGTCAGCATGGATTGAACATGACCGCAAAGGCCTTGCAGGCTGCCTCACTGACATGGAGTTGAACAAGCCCCTGTTAGTCAGGAACCATTTACCACACCCAGGCCATTTAAATGAATGTCACAGCCGACACGCCTTTCTATTCCACCACATTCCTTTCCTGTGTGAATTGGCCAAGGGGTGCGGCTTGGAACACCCGAGGGTGTTCCGAAACGAAAGGAAGTCAACTCAACTGAAAAGCCTTCCCCAAGACGGGAATCTACTTTTGGTTTCACTCCTTCCGAGAGAGAGAGAGAGAGAGAGAAAACTGCACAATTTGGAGCTTGATGGAATCTCCCAGAAATCAGGCCCAAAGACCCAGCACCTCCCCTAGGCCCTGGGCAAGGTCACCAGGCTCTTCACACCCAGTGCCGCTCGCTCGCCGCCCCACGAGGTTGAACCCTGCGCTCACCCGGCACCGCGACGAGGAGATCCGAAGGCCAGGAACTGGCCTCCTCCGATTTCCCAGCGTTTAGGGGGGAGACGGTTTATTTATCCCAGGTAACTGATGCTCTATGAAATGCATGGATAGCCGGGGAGGTTTATTTTTTGTTCTTCAAGCCGGGGTCTTTATTCATCAAGAGGCGGACAGTTTGGGGGATAAGAGATCCTTTTCGCTCTTCGCCACAGCAGCGGCGCAGGCTGGATGAGGCAGTTCGGAAGAGCTTCCCTGCCGGCAATGTCCAGCCGTTGCGCCACTGGGCCGTGAAGGGAGTCATTTGGGCGTTCTAGAGGTTTGGAGAGAGGGAATTTTCAGGATTGGACATCAGTGATCTTTTCGTTTCTTTTTTTCCCATGTTTGCCCAGTTGGACTTTTCTTTGTGAGACCGAAGAAACACTCGCCACCCGGCTCGACACCCGGGGACGCGGCACACCGCGAAGCGGGTGATTTTACTGGACTGTGGACGAAGTATTTCGGGTGATTCACCACCCAAACACATACATATCACCACATATCACCACCCTGACGAATCATGTTCATCACATATCACCACCGAATCTGGGTGGTGAGCTTCATCCGTGGGCCTGAGGATCCGGCAGACCGATGTCTCGATGTCTCAGCCGTTTGGTCGGCCTCCAATACCAGTGGTAGATTGACCCCGTTTTGTGGTGAATATCCTTTAAAGAAAGTTAAGGGCAAGTTGCAAGGCAATGAAAGTTAAGGAAAGGAAAGGGAAAGGAAGGGAACGTATGGGAGCGAACACCAAAAACCACTCTGACTCAGACTCTGACTCACTAACATGGAAGTGGAAAATGGCCCCGGTGAAGACCATTTTCCTCTACAAGAAGGCAATTTTTCATTTCCATGGTAGTGAGTCAGAGTGTACAAAAGCAAGGGAGCGAACACATGGAAAAGGAAAGGAACACAACCAATGAATGATCATGAACGAACAACAAAAGAACACATAAGGACCGAGGTCCAAGGAACATGAAGTGATAAACGTTAAAATAAATGAACCAATGTGTCAATAATGCTGAAATGAAACAACACTAAAAGCATAACTATATAACGATAAATATTTGAAGTTTTAATAAAACATTGTGCACAATACTAAGTAAAATGACACCAAATGAAGATTATAATGAAGCAAACAAGTCCCGAAAGTACCAATGGACAATTAATTGAAACTGCCAATGAAGATGCAAATGATAAAGGCATGACAAACGCATAATCCAATGATTTCCAACGTGTGGCCCGCTTGCAAAGAATCACATAATCCTTTAGTGAAGCAAGGGTGGTTCAACTAAAGGCTAGTTAAATTAATGATAGGCCTGGGAAATACCTAGGGATGCGTTCAACGTAGGCCTAGAAAGCCAATCCCCGCCTTTGAGACAGGCCTCTTGCGAAATCGTGCCGTTCAGCCAGACAGGTGACATTGCCTGCTATGAGATGCCAGGCTTCGTAGCGGTCAGGCGCAACGGGGCGTGGAATGCCGGGTAGCACAGCTTGTGGCTGCTTCGAAGGTGGAGGAAATTCCTTTACGGGTGCATATCATCTTCCCTTGAGAGAGGTTTTAGGGGGTGTTGGTGCTAAACATGCCTTGATGGGTCCTGGTGGTGGGTGCTCTCTATTCTTGTTGTCTCCTTCGGGTATTTTCACGGTTTATGTCTGACGTCCGCGCATGTTTTCGCCGGACAGATTTGTCACGTTCACCTCCCTCTCCCGAGCATGCCGTTCGGCGAAGCGGGCTACTGGGTGCCGTCGCCCTGGTGAAGGAGCTTTCCGTGGCAGAGAACAGTCTTGGGAGCATTGGGCCAGATTCCGAAAACGGAGAGAGGCCCCCCCTGCCGCTGCACCACCCCCCCAACGCGGCTTCGGGTCTCCCGGGCCGAAGCGGGAAGGATCGCCTCCGAGGGACGAGGGCGGCGCAGGCAACGACAGCTGCGAGGAGGAGTCGAGCGCAGCTACACCTTACATAGCTCTGAGTGAGCGCAGCTTCCGCAGATCGTTGCTCCAATCTTTTTGCATTCGCTGCTTTGTCAAGAACTTTGGCATAGAACCTATGGCCAAATTCCAGAACTTTAATATTTGTGCAGAGTCTTGGTTTTGGTTCTATTTTTTTAAGTCTGTGAAAGGTCACGGCTGTGTCTGACTCATTATATAGATCAAACATCTCATCTCAAAAGATTGTTGGCCTTTTCAAAAGTTTTCTCAAGCCGATAGATTTGCAACATGAATGAGTTCTTTAGAGAGACGACAACTGCATTCGCGACTAGGCCAGTCTGTACAGATGTCACTCCACTCGAGCCCTCCTTGAAGGGAGGTTCTCAAAGGTCAAGCCACCGTATGGTGGAGGGAGCCACGGGCCGGTGAAAAAAGACGTATGAGCCACCGCAGTGTTCGGGCCATTGCTTCGTCGTGTGGGAGATGCAACGGGCGTCCAGGGCGCCAGGAACGATCTTCCATTGATCCATGCAGCAACGTTGAGGACACGGCTATCAGATGATGCGTTCTTACTTCTTCTGATTTGCTGCAGGACTCACACGTGCCACAGTCTTTTGGTCGACATGTGTTCGGCGCTTGGCTTTCCCCACTCTTGTTGCTTCGTTGGATTCGATGGCCCGACGTATGGCACATTGGCCGCTGAACATCGGAGCTGCCCACCATCGCCGACCGCGCGCGTCTCGCCTCGAAGCCCACCGTGGTCGTCCATCCGTGCTGGTTGACAACCAGCGGGTGACCGTGCGAGCGTCGGTTCGCGGAGTTCGGTGGCCATTTCTCCGACCAATGGAAGTTGTGGCAGGCTTTCTTGGAAGAAACAACCCACGCACCACACACGTGGTGCGACAGTCTCACCGCCAGGTCGCTGGTCCCCCTCATGCTTCGGGCCTTCACGAGCCTGGTCACACCCAACGCCGCGTGTCGGACTGCGCCAGCGCCGTGTGACACGCGACCCACCTTGGGCGCCGTTTTCAGGGCACCAACGTGTCGACGCTCATTGGCTGAAGCTGACTTTTGGAGTGGCGACGATCATTTTCTGCGCTTGGCAAGCTGGCCTTCACACGGGAGCTCGCTGCCCTGTCGGCCTGGGTGTTAGCATGCAGGCTCCATCGATGCCGTGTCAGATCTTTCCTCTAACATGTAGTAGAATCAGTCATGTAGACTCTTGATACCCCATGATAACCCCGCCATTTGGATTTTAACACCTCTTCATCATATGTCCTTTCTTTTTTAATGAATCAAAAGATCTACATGTCCTTTTTTGTTTCTCCATTGAATCGATGGATCAGCATGTGTCCTTGTTCCCGGGCGCCTTTGATCCTCGGGTACCCCGGGTAGCACGGCGCCTCGCGTCATCGCGTCGCGCTGCATTGGGCCGACCTCAGCGACCCCTGTACCGACCGGGGTGAGATAAAACGAGAGGATCGCGTGGCGGGAAGGTGCGCTTTGGGTGATCCAAGTGCTTTGGGTGGCCATCTTGTTTGTGAGGGGTGCCGCCATTGTCTCTCTGGTCCTCGCCCTCCATTGGCCCTCCATGTGTCGCCGCTTGTGCCCTCGAAGGCGGCTTCCAGCCTCTCCATCCGGAGTATCTCCTTAAGGGTCAAGACGGAGTGGTGCTTCCTGTCCTGGCTTCGCAGCTGCCTCACAAAAGATCAGGCAGCAAGACGCAAGGTTAGTGCCTGTGCCGCACCAGTTTCTCTTTGTGCAAACAGCAGAGGCGGTTTCCCCAGCGACGGTGTTTTTCCTGTCTTTGCATGCCTTTGATATTCAGTCGTGTTTCCGAGCTTGCTGGCAGAAGCTGAACTGGACTGTGGCCTTTGTGGTAGCTGTGCTGTGCGCTCCAGAATTGGGGATAGGGCCATGCGCTGTGGCATCGGTTTAACGAGACTCCTGGAGGTGGCGCTTGGCATAGTGACCAGTGTCCAGGGACCCTTAGCCCCAACCGAACGACTGAACATCTCTCAAGCCGTGATGTGAAGCAGCAAATTGCTCCTACCAGATTCTTGTCTAACTCATCCATACAATTGTAATCAGTTGTATACATATTGTTATAATATATGACACTTCGCTGTAACCACCAGTGGCTCGACCCATGTGGTCAGGAGACCAACACAGCCAATCGACCACACGCCAAGCAGTGCGCTGCAGAGTAGCAGAAGAGCGGCCGCGCAGCCGATGAAACCAAGGAAGCTGCGCCAACCACAAAAGAGAACATGCAGCAACCCCCGCACACGACGTCGCGACAGCGCTGACTTGCTCTCAGAGCCGGCCCAACAGCCTGGACAAAAAAACTACCCACTCAAACCAAATTTGCAATCACGCTTCTTTGCCAGCATTCCATAGTGGTTCATTTGGATAAAGCGCAGTGTTGCTGACTTGAGGTCCTTCCGTTCGACATGTCCAGACAGCCTTGTTCTGTTTCCTGAGTGCATTCGCACTCAGGCCATTTCAGGGCAGGGGCATTCATGTCGGTACGAAGAGTCCATTCATGTCGTGCGTCTCTCTTCCGAAGAGTACCACTCCGGTAAACGGTGGATTGTGGTCTGTGACCGTGACGGGCAGCAGCGAAGCTGGTCCGCTCTCATATCGGGGCAAGAGCAGCGGTCGATTAGGCATACCGTGCGGTATAGAGCGAACGTGGCCAGAGCGGCCCAAATTTTTGTGGAGATCCAAGTGGATCTCGTGCATAGGTGCTACTCGGGTCTACGTTGTTGTGTTCCCTGGTCAGTCCCTTGTTCCCAGGTTTGTGTGTTTGCAAGTGGTGGTTGCTTGTTTTCCCAGGTTTCTTGTGCTTTCTCTTTCTTCCCCTATGTTCTGCATCGCTTCTCCTCTTCTCAGCCTTTCGCTGTCGGAACATTCAAACTCTGCAATATTTCGGGGAATACTTCTTTGCTGTTTTTCCCCAGCTAGGGAAGCTATGGGGTTCTTACTTCAAAAAACAATGAGTTGCCCGTGCGCGCTTTCGAGACAGGTTGCTGGTGCTGGGTGGCGGTGCTGGTGCTGGTGCTGTGAGCTGGCTGCAGGTGGTGGAAACAGGTTGTTGGTGCTGGGTGCCAGGTGCCGGTGCTGGTGCTAGTGCTGTGAGCTGGCTGTGCACGTGGTGGAAGCAGGTTGCTGGTGCCGGTGCTGGGTGCCGGGTGCCGGTGCATGGTGCTGGTGCTGTGAGCTGGCTGTGCACGGGGTGCTGTGAGCTGGCAGTGCGCGTGGTGGAGACTGGGCGCCGGCGCTGGGTGCAACAGCTTTGTCAAGGGCTGTACTGTTTGTGCGCATACTTTTGCACGTCGCAACGTCAGGCTCTCAACCAACCATTGTTTCAGCATGTTTCAGCATGCTACACACGCACACACACAATAGTCGCGCTGGATACTGCGTGGCCTTGGGCGAGTGAAACCCACGGGCTTGCCAGTTGCGCGCATACTTTTGTGCGCATATTAATATACGCGCAAGATCATACGGCCTTATCGTTCTACAGCCCCCAGGCAAGTTGGCCAAGTAAATTTGTCTCGTACACTCGTTACCGACACTTGGGCAAATGGCAGGTTTTGGCTCGTGATCCTGATTTGTGGCATGGATTGCTGGATGATTTTTGCATGTTTTGTGGTTATGGATAAAAGGCCATCGTAATATAGATAATCCTATCTGGTAGGTTTCACTTGTCCCACCTGCGCCCAAAGGGGCTGCCGACAGTCAAAGTCAAAGTCAAAAAACGTTCTACAGCTCGTTGCTTCAAGCATGCTACAAAGTCAATAGTGGCGCTGGATACTGCTTTGCCTTGGGCCAATGACGCTTACGGGCTTTGCTTTTTGCGCGCCTATACTTTTGTGCGCATAGTCTGTACACGCGCAAGATCACACGTTGTTATTCTCCAAATTGGGATAGCTACGCGGTTCTTACTACAAAGAAGAATGAGCTGGCTGCGCGCGCTTTCGAAAGGGTGTCGGTGCTGGTGCTGGTGTTGTGGTCCTGGGTGTTGGTGCTGTGAGCTGGCTATGCGCGCGTTGTCAGCTGGCAAAGCACACCGGCGCTGGTGTCAGCTGATTGTGCGAGGTATCGTAAGCGGCTGCGTGCAGTCTTGTTCCAGCCAGTCGCATGCCAACCGGTCGTGGGATTCTGCCTAGCTATCTGGGTCTATGCTGGTGTTTTTTTCCTCTTCCGCAGATAGCGAAGCTGTGGGGTTCTTACTTCAAAAAACAACGAGCTGCCTGTGCGCGCTTGCCGGTGCTGGGTGCCGGTGCTGGTGCTGGTGCTGTGAGCTGGCCGTGCACGTGGTGGAGGCAGGGTGCCGGTGCCGTGGGCTGGCTGTGCGTGTGGTGGCGCCAGGGTGCCGGGAGCCGGTGCTGGTGCTGGTGTTGAGAGCTGGCTGTGCACGTGGTGGTGACATGGTGCCGGTGCTGTGAGCTGGCTGAGCTGGCTGTGCACGTGGTGGTGACATGGTGCCGGTGCTGGGTGCTGGCTGTGCGTGTGGTGGAGACAGGGTGCCGGGAGCCGTGCTGGCGCTGGTGTTGTGAGCTGGCTGCACGCGTGGTGGACAGGGTGCCGGTGCTGGGTGCCGGGTGCCGGGTGCCGGTGATGGTGCTGGTGGTGGCTGCGCGCGTGGTGGAGACACGGTTCCGGTGCCGGTTCTGGGTACTGGCTGTGCGCGCTTGGCGCATTGCAGAGACGTGGCGCTGGCGCCGGTGAGTCAGGGTGCCGCTATTTCCAACGTTTTTTCGAGATTCCTTCTGTTCTTGTGCGTGGCCTTTGGGTCCGTTCGCCGGGTGGTATGCTGCTCACCGCC